AAAAAAAAAAAAAAGGAAAAAAAGAAAAAGAAAGGAAAAAAAAAAAAAACAAGAGGAAAACAAAATCATAATTCTCATCGTGATCGTTAGTCGATTCGAAAATGGCGTATCGTATCGTATCGTATCGTATCGTATCGGTAAATTTGAAAGTTGGCCACCGTGATTTCAAACTCCGTGTTAACGAGGCAAGTTCTCGTCGTACGTTCGATAAACTCTCTCGAGGAGGAGTAATTTAAGTGCACGCTCTCGTCTGTGCACTTGATTGCATATCGTTGCAGAACGTTCAGGCTCAGACGAGGCGGGATAATACCTTTACTTAATGAGTAAAACTTGCCGATAGGTAGTAGTTCTCGAACCATGGAATCGAACCACTGCTCGAACGGAAACGGACGGGAGGGGGAAATCTGTTTCACGGGACTTGAAATGTATCCGAGCTTTGTTTAATCGCGTATTTGCCCCTCTAATTGCCCCTCGCGCGGAGTTCCAGTTTCTTGAATCTTTCTCGATTCGAAAATCCTATGCATTTTCCTAATATCTCGCCTTTTTCTCGAGGATTCAACAATCGATCCATCATTTTATTTATGCAAAAACACGATTTAAAGGATATTTAACTTAACAAAATTATCGACAATATCCAATAGGGGATTAATTATACAGAATCGATCGATTATCTGATAATTTAATTATAAAATGAAAGTGATATAATTCTAATAAAATTAAAAAAAAATTCTACTAGTTTGTAGAAGTTTTATTCAAAAATTGATGAAAAATTTTTGTCGCAGAATGTTGGAGACGTTAGGCAAGATAGTTGGTCGAAATAAATATCACTGGTTTCGCTTTGGCGGCAGAGGTTTTTCCTTTGGTTGGGTAGCAAGAGACGAGAAAGGCGGATGCGCCTGTCCGGAAAGGAGAATAACCTCCCCGCATTGGTCCATCCGCGGTTTCCATGGACGCGAATCATCGATCTGTTCGCCGTTGACGTTTGTTTCCGGTACGGAGCATGCTCCCCAATGGAACTCGGTCCTCTCCACGTCCAAACGTTTTATTATTCCGTTGAGAGAGACGATATAAAAAAAAAAAAAGAAAATCATCGAATCTAATCCTCTATTTCTTTTTCACGTACCTTTATCTAATAATTTATTCGAATGGAAATATTCATACTCGCTTTGAAACGCGAATTACAATTAAATACATCGAATAATCTATAGATACATATCTCTGTTACATTAAATATCGAGAATTGCGAGATGGCAAATCCAGCGAGAACAATTTGTTGCAATTATTTAAAATATTTCGTACTCGATCAAAAGAATTTTATTTATTATTTATTTGTTCTATTTTTATTCTTAAAAAAAAGTAAAAAGGGAAAAGATTAGGAGGGGATTAAACACCGGAAGTGAAATACTGGAAGAAAGAAGGAAATAAATAAAAACGGGAGCAAAATTTGATATTTATGGCACAAGTGGAATTAGCAACGCGGCTCAAAAGCGGGAGAAGATTAAGAGACGCGATGCCTTTCTCTCTTTCTTTTCTTTTTCTCTTTTTTCACAATCGATTCGAGTGGAAACCAAAAAGGGGACGCTTGTTTATAAACGAGTTCCAGCTGTACGGATGCTCCCCGTGCACCGATTCGATTTTGTTTCGAGCTTACTGTCAGATCGGTCAGGTAGTCCGACTCCGTATTACGTTACCAGCGACGCTCGGTCGAGTGCATCCGCTCGCGTTGGTGGCTGCACGTCACCTGACTTTAACTTTGTTTAAAATTAATTAAGCCTGAGGTGTCGAGAAGACTCGGCCTCGCGATCCAACCAAGGAAAATCCATTCTTCCCTTTCGAGATTTGTCGTGGCGAGTGGCGAAGGAGATCGAAGAAAGTGGCTCCAACAATCCTTTATTTCGAGTTTTTAATTTCATATATAGGAAATTTTGCAATTCCATCGACAGAAATTTCAATTTCATAGTTTGAAACAAGTGTCTTGGAACAGAAATTTGTTAATCGAAAGTATTGTTAAGAGTTCGAATCAGATTCGAACGAATTTATCAATCGTTGTTAAGTTTAAGGGAAAGTAAAGTAAGTTTAGAAGGGATAGAAAAATTGTTTTAGAACATGTAATATAAGAATGATAAAAGATTTTTACGACGCATAAAGGAGAGACGGATAAAGGGGGACTGGTCGCATAAAGCGAAACCATTCCTCGGAATCCTTCCACGTCTCGTTCGCTCGAGGATTTCCTTATTGTTTGTATAATCGATAAATTGTGCGCCTAGGGGAACGCGTACAGGATGCTTCACGGTGCAAAAACCGCGTAATCTACTGCCGTTCGTGGGCGGGGTGGGTATCGTGCAAGAGCCAGCAACGAGACACTCGAAAGACTATAAATCTCGCTGTACGAGGTCGACTTCCGGTTTCCCTATTCTTATATAGAATACGTCGATTCTTAATCCATTCGGACAAATCTGTTTCAAAAATCGTCGCAATAATCTCGATAAATCGTTACCCCATACCCGCCCACGTTAAATATTGTATTTAAAAACACGTCTACTATAAAAATCGTCCCCATTCCAATTCTCAAATATACAAATATAAAATGGAAAAGAAAAATTTCTATTTATAATACAATTCATATAAAAGATTCTGTATCATTAATATTATAAAATTATTACAGATTTTTCAAATTTCATCTCCTAATATAATAACGAAAAATTGACGGCAGATAAGAGATCTTGTAACTTCTTAAAATTAATTCACACATCTTTCGAATTACGAAGAATAACGAAAAAGAAATTTAGAAAAACGAATGGATTAGCGAATACATTATATATCCTTCGACACATTTTCCAAACGAACGATAAATCGAATTCGAATCGATTATCGAATATCTCTCGAAATTCTGATCGATCGAGGGAACACGAATAATCCCCGCATGTTGGCAATTCAACACCAGAGGCGAGCGTTCAAAGGACGACGACGGGCGAGCGCGTGTATAGGTAAAAGTCGACGTTGTTACTATCGCCTAGCTCGCCACCCATCAAAGTGGCAATCGCCGGTCCCGATTGTGTCAAATCCCCGCTCCGTGTTCTACGCGAAACGTTTCGCGTATTGAGCGTCGTGGCTAGGCGATTTCGTGCGTTCTCTGCTATCCGAAACCGATGGGCGTTGCTCCATCGTAACGCGATACGTTTGTACTATCCTATGTAAATGTGCGTATCCAATATGCGTGTGCACACGTTGTGTACCCGTGTAATAGTGGTATCCGGCGAAACGCGGCCGTTGATAAGAGCTTTCGTTCGAATCGTGATAGTTGTTCGGATGGAAACCAGAGGATATCGACACCAAGAATCGAGTGTAAAATTGGGGGAAAAACACTGCGTTCCAAATTTTGGATCGTTGCTTTCGATTGGCACGACGTTGAGACAACTTTTAATTTTTTCCTAAATATTTCAACGAATTATTTCCTCGAGATTCGAAATATTCGATAAAATTGAACGATACAGAGAATCTTACGTATATATTGAATATATTTCCATAACTCCAGGCTTATATAGTCTTGCACAAATCGATTCTCTTAAAAAAAGTATACATTACGTATCTCTCGCAGATTTTCACGGTCGTGAAACCCGTTCCGCCAACAGATTTCCACCAGACAATGAGAAATCTCGTCTTACATCCAACGGGTCGAGCGAACGACTACCGTGAAAGAAAGAATCCTCGCGAAAAGAAAAAAAAAAAAAAATCCACGAAACTGTGAAACCATTACGTATCCAGATATCCAGACACGTCACAACGTACTTCCCTGTTATTTCGAAATAGATCGTACAAGGCGAATTCTCAGGCGGAAAATACGATCGCAGAGTTCGACGAGGAAGGAGGGTGGAGGGAGGAGGGGATACGGTGATACGGTTCGTGGGAACGTGAAGGAGAGTGAAGGAAAGGGTGAGAAGGAGGCGAAGAAGAGGTGTCCTCGTGTCGATCCTATCGGAGCCCCGAATCTCGGAATTCGAATTTGTCCCCTTATCTGCGGATTCCATCGTAATTGCTTATCTACGAGGCGGTTGGCCACGGGGACAAGCCATATCCACCTACTTTATGCGACGCGATCCACGGCCGGCCCACGGGAAGACACGCGTGTATTCACGTTTTCTCGCGTGTTTCCGTCACGCGAAACCCTCCCTGCGAGCTTCGGGGACGTTTATCGCCGGTAGGGAATCGTATACACGTCCCTCCTTTGTTTTTTCTACTCGCGTCTTGGCGCGCGCTGCCCTCCTCCTCCCATCCGGCAACACAGGCTTCCTCCTCCCGGCCATAGTTCCGGTGGCGCCTTCTTCCACCACCTCTGATCCCATTGTTTCCACGCACGGATATCCCTATCTCGCACCTTCCGTTCTCGATCTCCTTCCATCTCTCGTCAACTTTGACTCTCGTAAAGTGTTTAAAACAGTGAGATATTAAGTCTCCTTTTTAAAAATCTTTTTAAAACCTTTTTAATTGTGTTAATCTTCAATTTCTTCCTGCTTCCAAAGATAAAAGAAAATATGGAAAGGGAGAGGTTTTTGAAGATAGTTTGATTACGATAGTTTCGTAGGAAACGATTCTATCTCGCACGTCTTATGG